AAAATACGTATTTAAAATATAATTTATATGTTTGAAATATTATTAAAATATGAGGAGGGATGGAACACCTCTCCTGTGCAGAAACGCTGAGAGAGGTGGGGTTGTTTATCCTGAAAGAAGGAGACCTTACTGTGGCCTTTCAATACATAAAGGGGGCTTATAAGAAAGATAGGGACAGACTTTTTGGTTGGTCCTGTAGCAAAATGACAAGGGGTAATGGTTTTAAACAAAAAGAGGGTAGAATCAGACTAGATAGAAGGAAAAAATTTTTTACAATGAAGGTGGTGAAGCACTGGAACAGGTTGCCCAGAGAGGTGGTAGATGTCCCATCCCTGGAAACATTCAGAGTCAGGTTGGACGTGGCTCTGAGCAACCTGATCTGGTTGTAGATGTCCCTGCTCATTGCAGGGGAGTTGAACTAGATGACCTTTAAAGGTCCCTTCCAACCCAAACCATCCTATGATTCTATCCTAGAATCATAGAATATCTCACCTTGGAAGGGACCCATAGGGATCATCAAGTATGATTCTATGAAATAATTAAAGACTAACTGTAAAGACCACTTTTACTTAGAAAACTGGAAGGATTGCGTGTGGTTTCTGTGATCCTTCTTGCAATAATGGAAACAAAGAGTTACTGTTAATTTAGGGAATCATAGGAAAATATTGCTTTATATATTGCCTTATTCAGGTAAAAGCAAGAAAATTATCATTCCATTCTTCTCACTTTGTCTCCATCAACCCAGCTGATTGTGATGCCTTTTACAAATTCTTCTCTTTGCACGTTGAAGTTCTAAGAACTAATATCAGAATAAAATACATCTTTTTCAGATGAGAATTAAATGTAAGTTATTTTATAAGACAATGAATACCACTGAGAGGAAGTATTAATAACTTCCACATATTAGTCCCCAGTAGTATTGTTTGATTTCTTGTACAAAGAATTTGAAATAAGAAATCCCTAAATTCATGTTGAATCCCCGAAGACCTGATTAAAAACTGGTTTTCTATTTGTTTATAAAAAAACCCAACCAATTTACTCTTGCCATAAACACAGTCTTTAACCCCATGAAACTGTGATAAGCTTTTTAACTTTTATGTTCTGAAGTTTTAGTTTAAGCATGCTTCCCTCACCTAATTATGCAGATTTTGATTGAAAACTGTAAGGAAAATATTGTCTTAGTTAAACCATTTTGTAGTTACAGACATATTAATTTTACTATGACAAGCTGTAGAAATAAATTAATGTTTTGCCTGCTCTCTGTTTTTAGTTTACTGTGTAACATCACCTGGCTGAATTAGGACATAATATTCAAACTGTATGTTAAATCTTGAACATAAATTTTTGAGCCTTTTGGATGGTAACAAACATGATTATAGTGAGTCCTAGAGCTTCTGTCAAGAATTACTGGGAACATTACGAAGAAGAGTCTGCACCAGATAATTATGCGACCCCAGATTCTCAGTTCATGTTTATGATATATTCAAAATTATGACACATTTTTCAGCATAAAAAATAAGTTTCTATAAATACATATTTTCAATGGAATAATAATAATAATGATGATGATGATGATTAAAAAGTCAGTTCTGCTTTCTACCGTTTGTTTACAAATAGAAAATTGCCTGTAATTTATTTTTACAGAAAATGCAATTCAGGCCTTCGGCAATGGTACTGATGTGAATGTGTGGCAGCCAATCTTACCAGTACAGACCACTACAGCCACAACTACAACAGCTTCCAGACTTAAAAACACAGGTTTAGAGACCACCAACAATGAAATACCCACCCACAATGATTCACCAGCATGTGCAAACCTGCAGGTAAGAGTCTTGTACTTGTTGCAATGCATAAATGGAAGTTTTTCATGGATAGGTATACAGAGTAGTCTCTTGCTGCATAGATGCCTGCTTAAATTGGAATATCTGTTGATTTCCATGCTGCAGTTACAAGCTGGATATATTGTAAAATATCAGACACTTATTTTAAATCAGAAACATGCACATTACAAAGTGGACTTTATTGCCTCACTGACTTAGAAACAGGGCATAGTATTTAATTTGTTATTGCAGGTTTGCATGTGAATGTTGCAGTCTCCAAACTCTGCCAGGGTGTGTCAGAGTAAATTAATCCCCTGAGTAATCCAAATACAGAGGTAACTCTTAATGTCAGCTAGCATGTCCTGTTGCCTTCTTTCTTATGTTATTGGCAGTAAACTTAAGAGTTTTTTTGGCTGAGTAGGTCTGGATATTAGATAATACGTGGTGCTACAAACTACATGGTGAAGAAGCTGGACAAAGTTAGAAGCTATTTTGAATCAGGCGCTTTCCTGAACTGGGCTTAAAGTCGTGATGTGATTTTGGCCAATGGCTGTAGTGATTTTCTTTGACGCTTCAACTAGGCTATTCATGGTATGTCATTGATTCTGGATTTAAAGAGGCTTACCGCTTGCTGAAGGCAGCATATGCAGCTCTTAGAAAGTTTGAAGAACTTGAGCAGGAAACAACTGCAAAATGAAGGCAGAAAATAGGTAACAGGAAATGTATGCTGAAAACATCCTTAGGCCAAATTAGAATCTGGGATTATAAGAATTTTTGGTGGTTTAAGTGCAAAATTAGATCAGAGATAGATCTACTTGGCCGGTTTATTTTTGTCTTTACAGAAGGAAAATTGCTATGTGACACAAATGAAAGTGTCCAAGTTTTAACATCTCATCTGGTATTAACATACTTTTTTTCTGGATTCTCAAACTCTTCCACACTTGTAGCATTCACATTTCACTTACTTATAAAAAATTGATTTTGTATTCTTCATATGAAACTGTATTAAATTTTCCATGTTCACTAAAATGGACAGTTTGTATCCCTCAGAAATGTATTTTGCTTTTTAATTTCCCCTGCACCACTCTCTCACCTTTCTCCTTTTCTAGTTTCTCCATTTATTTTGCATTGGCAAATTGTATATGAATTAACATTTTTCAGAGGCATTAGGGAGTCACAAAGTGTATGTGGTTAATGGTAGATGGTGTTGAGTTTAGGTCCTTCTGTTTTAACTATTTTTCATATCTGTGCATTCATTATTAAGCTTTGTATGTTATTGATGACAGGGAGATAGTTGTATGCATGTATTTCTATATGCAGTAGTTATTTGAACAAATAGAATATGCTAAAAAGAAATGTAACCTTTTAAATCTAAAACTTGGAGTATCTTTCATTTAAAGCAAGACCTTGATGGGATATTATTAATTCACTTCATGTTATATTAAAAAGTTGTTTCATAGGAGAGATCGCATTTTCCTTCAGTGTTTGTACAGTCCCCTATAGAGTAAGGCCTCCAGATGCTACCAAAGTACACAATAAATAATGAACTAAAGAAATGGCAAGTGATCACAAATCCCATTGGTTTCAGTTTAGTTCACGAATGTTCTTCAAGCCTGAATAGACGTTCCAGTGTTTTGAAAATGACTGAAATTCTTCCCTGTCCTTACTGCTGTTACTCTGGCATGTTGAAGTCACATCCCACATGAGTTTATTGGCACTGGTTTATTATCACTGGTTAAAGCTATGATACAGCTTCGAGTGTACCCCGATACACTTGACACAAGAAGTAAAGGTCTGTA